TCTCAATCTTCATTAAACACAAGATTGTTCTTATCCATCATGAGGAGGGTCGGCTGATTTTTTCTCTCCCCTTTTCGGATTGATAGTCGTTATTCTTTTTTCTCTCTAAAAAGAAGGAAATTTCCATCTTGTGAAGCAGAAATTCGATAATTGACGGTGAATTTACGCTTCTTTAATTTCATTTTCTGCGCGCAACATCTTCACACACACATTCACACATCTTGTTTTATGGCGAGAGTTTCACAAACTGTTAATTTCATCCGCCATGAGTGATGAAGAATGTCTTCGAGACACTCTCAATTCCTCACCTCGTATGCTAACATAGTCAGATCGATTAGCACTCATTTGCACATTTTCGTATGTTACAATAGAAAATGTCTTGGGCTTGCGGCGGACAAGCTCATGGATTGAATGGAAGAGTGGGGAGACTTTTGGACTGTATGGCGACTCAATTAAGGTCGCCCAACATGCTAATAACAAAGCCAATGTGTGGTGTTATGGTCAGCTAATGAATTTCCACCTCAATTTATTGTCGATACTTTCACGTTAATTGGCGGCAGACAGTGCTGTGGTTTTTCTCCACTGTCCTCCCCAAAATTCTGTCCTGGTGCTCCTCGATATGGTGAGAAAATCCCATTACAGATGCCCCTTGTGCCCTAATTGTTGTCGCAGGACAATTGAATTGCTGAGAAGAGCACCCCAACCACTGTCGGTCTGGACGGAGTCTTGCTGCCAATTTGGATCTCCGATCCAGGTGGACTTGATGGAAATTGGGTGGGAAAAGGTGTGTGCACTCAATGCCAACAAGAGTGTCAATCAGTGACTGGATGCCAGAGTTATTGCCACTGATTTTTCTCTCAATGGAATCTAGGGCTCCGCTTGAGTGACGCGACCCAGATGATATGTAACAATTTGTTTTAGGAAATAATTAGTCAGCCCGAACGATTTTCAATACCTTCTGCTAAGGCAAGAAGTAAAGAAGAACGCTTAATTTTGAACCCAAGTTTAACTCGTTTTTTTTTTTAAGTTTTCTCCGTCTTTCCAATTAGTACACATTTGTCCCATACATTTTTTTTCTCGAAATGAAAAGTTTGGGAAAATTCAATTGCTCAGAACAGTGTCATTCTGATAGAGTTATAAAAGCGTTTCTGGTTTCTGAACGTCAGTCGAAAGCACAATGTGGGCTTGTTAACTGGAAATGAGTCAGACCTTCCTGAGTAGCTCTGGTTGGAGTCTGTTGCGCCTCTTCACTTTCTTCAGCACTGATGTCAACCTGGAGGGAAGAAGACAGTCCGAAGATGGTGACGATTGCGGTTAGCAGAGGAGGAACTAACAATGAAAATTATGCATTTGTTAAGCTGCTCAACAAAGCATGACGAATACCTTCTGTCTCGACCACTTGGCCTGAAGGAGTTAAAAACCGCCGTCTTGAGACTATTGTTCGAGGGAAATTGGCTCAGGAGTGACCCTCCGCCGCGGCCCCACCTCGCTCAGTCGTGAACCCAAGTGCGTGGGGCCCGAGCCCAGTGCGTTGCAACTGGATTGTGTGTTTCTCGAGGAGATAAATGCTATAAACAATGTTGGAGAGGAGAAAGAAACCCCATCGCGTTTCTTGATCACGGAGTGGAGATGCGAGGTGGAGGAAAAAAACGAGAGATATATCCCGAGACCAGAAGCTCAAATCTACAAGACAAGTCAAAGAGAAGCCAGCCAAAAGAGACTTGACTTATGGTTGGGGATTTGTCTGTGGTTGTATCGTGAGATGGCGAGTTTCCTCCATCTCTTGTGTGAGCGAGAGGTGAATTTTTAAATTCCATCAACTCGTTTCCAAGCTGTTTCTATACAATTATACGTCTTTAGAGGAGATAATATTATTGTGCCACGGAGGCGAACAATAAAAGCAATTTGAGAAGGTTTCCACTTGCAATTGTGTTTGTATATTTCTCTACGTTGGGATGTTGTCATTAAATTACATCTCCCCGCTCCCGTGCCTCACCTGAACGGTGTGTACGTGTGGTGAGGTTGTCTCACATCATCTCGCCAAACCAGGTAAAACTCTTCACGACTTGGTCAACACATTCACAAGACCCACTCGAGGAGGCGAGAGATGGATGGACTGAGGCGAAGGTACATATAAGACAAGCCATTATCATACTGGGACGCAAGGCACTGTTGCCGCCATTTCTTCGAATCATGAGTTGTGGCACACCAGAAAGCCGGTTTTTCTTATGCATCGCAACATGTTAAATGCATCACCAAAAAGGCTGACTTTGTGAAAGCCACTCTGACCACCTGCCCTTCATTTGGATGGGGAAACGACAAAAAGCGAACCTCTAATGTGGCGCACTGTCAGGGCTCGATCCTGTTTACCTGGGCAATCTTTTTCATAAGCCTCCATTTTGGTCTTTAAATTGATCGGCAGATAAGTTTTTTGTCTTAGCCATCAGTCTAACAAGAGTGGGATGGCACATAGTAAGAAAAGGGTTTGAGTATTCATATCGGAGTTCCGGTAGTCCGATTTTGATGAGTATAACTCCATTTGAAAGCTTAAGACATTTCCTAGAAGATTGCTTATATGCGAAGCAAAGAATGGGAGAGACTAAGTGCTCTTCTCATTTGGAAATCTTTTGAGGTAGATTAGATTAGATTAGAAATGGGGGTGGTACAAGAAATTCTTGCTCCACGGCATCCAGGCCATCTGACGGGCCCTTTATGCATCCCCAGGAAAATTTCCCATTTAAGGGCCAAGATCCAAAGCTAACCAGTCATCCAGTTACCTTTCAGACGGTACAGCTTTGGCCTGTGACTTTCATTGATATCTTATTTTTATTTATGTCGTCCCTCTCCCCCGGTTATCCTCTGATTTTTTCCCACTCAGAGGGCAAGGCTTTTCAAGTGAGCCAGTCAAATTCACAGACTAGCAGAGCTTGGCCTTGGGCGTGTTTGCAGACGATATCGCCTATTTACAAGCGACACCAGTCTGGTAGTGTGCCCATCTATAAGTAAGGACAGATGCGAAATACACTTCCACAGAAGTTTCTACTTCAGTTGGAACATTTAACAACAACCTTAAATTGGGCTGGAATTTTTATATTTGCCATTGAAAGGCTTAATATTTTTCGCATCTGTTGTGTTCGATCATTTGCAAGTGATGGGGATCGAACACACGACCGTGATGTCCTCAGTCTGGCTCTCTACCGACTGCACCACGGCCGCCCTCAATCTTTTGAGGTAAGGTGCTGTTCTCATTTGATTCAAAGACTGCCAGGCAGGAAAGGCGAAAAAGGTCACAAATTCTAGTGTCACCAGATACAATATTGCGGTTTATTGCAACTGCTGGGCAAATCGCCTTCTCCTATCTTGTCACTTGTGTTCCACTTCTCGACTCCGACTGATAGGGACCAATCTGAGCAGGTAGGCAAAATCACTTCTCCGCTGAGCATATGGCATGCAGGGCACAAAGGAAGAGTGGGCCGGCGATGCAGAATGGTTCCAATTTTTTCCGCTTCGGTCTATTTCTCAGAAGCCAGGATGAATTACAGTTGAAGTGGAAAATTTGAATTTCAAATATTGATGTATGATTCGTGCATAATTTCCATGAGAAGATCCACCGAATGCCAAATTGGCCTATGAGAACAAGCAGATGTGGTTCCCCGGGAAAAATTTCATATTTTGAATGTTTTAGAGAAAGAGAGAGAGAGAGAGCAAAAAATTAAGTTGAGTCTATTTGAATATTCTGTGGCATGAAGCACATAAAAAATCAAATATCATTTTGTCTTCACCCTGGAGTATATCCTTCCCAAGTTCCATTAGTCTGAGCGCTCGCGCCTTTCATCGCCAGGCTGTTGTTTGCCCATCGACAGAATTCCATTCCGTTGTGCATCAATTTCTATGACTTTAATTATTTACGACAGAAAACTATGAGGAGAGGATGCGAGAAAAGGGAGAAACCATCGATTTGAGATAAGAGCTGAAGAAAGATCGTATTACACTGACTTTTCATCGTCTTCCCGCGTTTGCCCCTTTGGGCACACACTGCCGATGCCTTGAAAAATGAACCTCTTCAGCCAGAATAAAAAATCCCATTTCGAATTCCACTCCGTCCTATTCTTGGCCTCGCATCCGAATCTTGTGCATTTTATGGAATATCTGTTTACTTTTGTAACCCAACGTCATCAAAATATTGTTGAAAGCAGGCGAGGACTTCGGAGGCGCTGTCGCGAGGGCAGAGACACAAATCCGTGCCCAGTTCGTGGCTGGAACAGTGAGGCTGCCTCTCCTCAACACAACATACCCTCCTCGTGAGACTGCAAGCTGGAAAAATGATCACCGTTGCCATGTTTCCTATGCTCACATGCTTGTGCATTCACCCGAGAGGGTAAACCCATACATGAGCCGCAATGTGTATTCTTTCCATGGGCATCAGTTTGTTTTTTCATCACCCATACAGAGGCACGAGTCTTTAAAACAACTCTGAGTCTTTCTCTTTCTCAACAGCCAAAGGTGTGTTTCCACCCAGTCGCATTAGGTTATGACGACGGTGCGCAAGTTTTCTGAAAAATTCCCGCAAAATTGACCACACAGAGATTTGGCATCTCAGAAAGTTCATAACAATCGGAATTCCTGCTCGCAAAGGACTTCTGAATTGTTTGGATGTTACCGGGTTCGCAATTGGAATTGAACACCGTCATTGAAATTGCTAAACCACCAGTCATATAAAGCGTGTACACCAAACATGTCATGAGCAATCGGGGAAAGTTTCGGTGAAAGATTGATCAGCGGTGAACCTCATGGGTTGGCAAGAGCTGGAAAAGACGAGAAGACATTTTGAAAGGTAGATTTTATAGTGGCGTGTATTTAAAAGTTATGTGCAGATGTTTTGTTACACTCCAAACAAGAGACTTTGTATGTGGGCACCAACACACAGCCGCGAAACCACTTCCAACTGACTCTGAGCCTCAACTGAAAATCGAATTGAAGCCAAACTTTAGTTTATCTCTCGCCTTGAATCGACGATGTTCCGTGTTGGCTGTTGCGTCGCATGACATATCCCATAGTGCTGAATATTGGATGATTTGACCGTTTTCGCTGAATCCAGCGTGGTTGATTGGAAGTAGTGAGTGACCGAGTATTAATTGGAATCTCCACCTGGGATTAATTTACATTTGGATGAGGAAGAGTGTGATTTAAGTGGGATTTGTGTGTGGCGGTGAAGCCATATAGGCAGGATTTTCCCGCCAATCGGGAAGTGCAGTGCTCAAATGCAAAAGGATGTAATGAGAATGGTGGTGGCAATGCAATCGTGAATACTGACAAGTGAGAAGTACAATCTTAATAAAACAGCATAGTGAGATATCCACGCCGCAGGACCCAAACCCTTTGGATTACATTTTACACCATCACACCCACTAAAATGGATTACACTGCGAAATCGTTTAATTTCATCACGGCATTTTTGCTTCTCGGTAAGGAATTACTCATTTTCTTTTCCGGGGAGAGCCCCATAAAAGTTTCCATCCATAAAAGCATGCATTTAATTTAATTGACGTTTTTACCCGCCGGCAGATGCTCTCCTCCTTCCTCCCCCAGCCCGGGCTGGGATGAAGAATGGAGTGAAGCGAAGGAATTGACTAATGGGTTCTTGCCAAGGGATGGGTTCTAATATCGCTCCTTCTCGCCGGAGAAACACCTGTATGATTTCATCCCGCAATAAGTCATCTCCACTGCGGACTGGCCGCCCAATTAACTGGGTGGATTTTTCGCCAGAATTTCACCTCGGCCTCTTCTGCAGCTGCCGAGCATATCGATGGTGAAACACAAAATTCCACATAACCACCTTTCACGATATCACAATATTTGCAGTTTTGCGCCTTCTCCTTCACACTCAGTTTCTCTCTCTGTCCCCCCTCTGCCACACCGCAGTTCTTTTTGCGCGACAGAAGAAACGTTGGGGGTTGATATTTGCATTGGTAGCAATATTCAGTGCGGAATAGTATTCCCGTCATGGAACTGGGAATATCTGTACACTATGCAAAATGTGCTGATTTAGGGAATTCGAAACCCTCCTGCAAAACATATCCCATTCACTCTCGGTGCACGCATTTCGATTGAGCTCAACAGAGTGAATGTGTGTCTAGATGCAATTTGCTGTCCAGGAAATTGGTCATTGAGGAAATGCGTGCTATTTCCACTAATTACCCAGGTGGAAGGTTTATGGGCAGAAATACTTAGACTCTGGTAAATAAGTCATTTGAAGAGTACACTCAAGAACACAGGTTCGGATTTGTATGAGGCATTCAGTTAATGCATCTAAAATCTCAACATCATTATGTCTTTCTTATTTCAAATTGTGAAAATTTTAATTCAGCCATAAAAGGATATAATTATCGTTGAAATACTAGTATAATTTTGAATTATGATTAATTTGTGTTCAATTTATCTTGTTGATATACATATTTCTCAAACCCATCCTTTTCATTTTGAGATCATAAATTTCAAATTTTCAATTCAGCAGATAGAATTTGTGTCCTCTCTCATAGTTTTCGAATCACAAGCTGGTAATTTATATCTGTTTCTAAACAAGAAATCATCCGAAATTGCCTCTCAGGATGATAATTTGGAGATAGTGGCTGAAGAATGGCCTCCTGTCGTATCTCCAAAATCTCCAATCTTCGATCCCGGCAACTCTGGCTTCTCAAAATCCCATCAGGGAATTGACGATGTGTGCTGAAGACGCTCGGCCACAAATGCATTCATCCCACTTCTAAGCAGCGCCCATCGAGGCGGTGAGACGCTGTTGTCCTTATCCTCTTATCAGAGTAGATTATTTCTGGTTGACTGGCTCTTAGATTATTATTTGAACAGATTGCTCTGGTTTACAAGTTTCCCTCTTCCACCGGAGCACACGAGAAAACCTCCCTGGGGATCTTCTGCACCAAATTGACGTCCATACATTTGATTTGGTACTCCCGCTTTTGCAAATGCAGTTGGTGATGAAGTTTCAAATAATGTAAGATGTTGGAGTAAAATTAACAATTCTCTCGTTTTGTCATGATGGAAATATCGCTTATTTGCATAGCTACAAGAAACTTTAATAGACACTGTTCGGGAAAATTAATAAAATGCATGAAAGCCACATTTGAATATTCTTTCGTCATATTAAACTATGCAGAAATGAAGGAAGTTTCTTATGAGCCAGAGATTCTATTTGAATATGCTTATTTACAGTGTTGAGGCTCTTTACTCAGAAATTTGTGATTCTATATCTAAAGAATAATTTATATTCAAAGGAAATAAAAACACGATAAGTAACTATACATTTCGATGCGTCACCAAAGTCTTTTCGCAAGTTTTCAGCATAGTCTTGGGAATATTCGAAAAAAAAACTGTGAAAGTTTTCTCATCAGAGGTGAATTGTGGAAAAGAAACGGTGTCGATATGTATTTGAATTTTCAAATGTGACAATTTCGCTCAAAATCCCGCTCAACTTCTTCGAAAAGCGTCTCTCGAGAAAAATGCAAATTGGGTGGGGATTTTGAGACATAAATACATGTCTTTCTGAGCGCGACAATCACTGATACAGATGTTATTTATATCCCTCCATCCCTCACATTTGGGTAGAAAAAAACGTGTTATTTAACATTTTATCTCTCACTCTCATTCTCCACTCCATTCAGTTGGATGTATCTCATGAATATTTTATTAGTTAATTTCAGAACTAGTTGTACGTGAAGGTATTTTCACGCGGGTTTTGTATATGCAACGGAGCAGTGGATTTGCTGTATTTATTGTTCAAATAACTAACTATCCATGCCACACTCACATCAATTCAATTATCATGTGATATTATCACGTTCTCTGTCTACATGCTGAACTTATTTGTTGACCAGTTAATTTGGTATTTGCTCTAGTGCATATTTTATCAGTTTGGGAGAGGATTCTTCTGATGGAGAGTCTTTTTCCCCGCACTTTGCTACGCTATAGCCTTTATAAATTCGATTTTGTGCAGAGAGAAATCCTCCCTATGGCAAATCACCCCAAAATTTGATCGTTATACATTTTGTAACGAATTTTTCTCCTCATTTTCGCCCGTAATTGACTCACAATCCCGCCCCCTCGCATTTCAGCTCACCCCTGACTTATTGGCGGAAATATAAATTGCAATTATTTACACTTTGGCACGACGGAGGAGTGTTTAACCCATACCTCGAAAATCTGTGACACTGTCGAGCGAACAATTGAGAGAGGAAACGGAGAGCAAAAAGGCGCATTTTTCACAATTTTTCTGGGTAGATGAATAAATCCTCGATGGAGCAGAGGTATTGAATTCCTCTCTGGCCATTGTTGAGATGCTGAAGCTTGTGGAGGTGAAGGATGGGTGTTTGGGGAAGTTTCGAGTGCCGTTTGCCTGAAATTCCTTTTCAATTGTGCCCTCACCAGTCCTTGTCTTCACCTTTTTCCCTCGCTCAACAATGGCTGTCTCTGGGATTGAACAAAAACCCCCGCCGAGTCCTGGAGGATGGCCTGAAATCGCAGAGATCATGGTGAGATTGGAATATCTGACATTTGTATCCTTTTGTGTGTGTGCTCTCGATCAATTGGCAAAAGAGGAATGTTTTATTTGCCATGCCCTCTCGAGCGATCCTCTCTTTCTCTTCGGCCCTATTCATTGGCAGTCGCAGGCCCAAAAAAGAATAATTTATTCGACTTTGCATCTTCCCATTCCTCACATCACCGGCACACCATATAATTTGAAAGCGAGGGATTGAGTTTTTTGCTGCATCTGCAGCCTTGCACGCAGGTAGGAAGCATCTCCTGACCGAGAGCAATTTGCCATAGATCGTTTCATGGGATGTTATTTGGTTCATTTGATCGCTGAATTTTCACGATCTGCAGCTTCTTGCATCGCCAGAGCTTCTCTTTCGTGCTCGAGATGAAGAAAAAACAGATTGGCAGCTGAAGTAAAGTGAAAAAACTCGTTTCTGACGCTGAGATCACCATGAGATCACTCCATGACATTATATCCAGCCAATATATTGAAAGGAAGTCCATGTGTTTCTTCTCCACTCTGATCTGCATCCAATACGGCAACTTTTCGGACCACATGTCACAAGATGTTAATGCTGCAGACACATTTTCTCCCCTCGAATCCACCAGTATTTATTCTGTTTGATTCTCCCGAGCGAGAGAAAGGAGAAAAACTCGCAGTCCCACTTTGATGATTGCTGCACAAATGTCTTAAGATAAACATTGGAGTTTCCTTTTATTGCTGTAAACTCGCCTGGATGACTCAGTGGGGAGCGCTATAGTGTAAACAAAATTGAGGAAAAAATATGATTAGGACAGTAGAAATTCTAGCACTCTGCCAGAGTCCTCTCCCTCGATTCCACCTCAAGTGTCTCTCTTGCATGTTCGAGAACACAATTCCCGATCATTTGATGAATAAAATATCTTCATCTCTCGAGATGATCGTGTTTTTTCTACGTCTTCGCCTTGGGATTCTGACTCTCTAATTGACTCTTTTTGTCCCACTCTCGCGCCTCAGCTTTGATTCATCCAAATTGTCTGAGTCAACAATCAAGAGTCTTTCGGATTTACTCATCAATTTCTCTTCATCCCAATGTATCTCGCATTTGATGGAATCGTGTGGCGCACTGTGTGTTTTCCAATCAATCAATTTAATTGTACATGTCCTCCAGCACCAAATCCATTTCAATTGTACGCATCTCAATCTTCCACACTCTGAATGTCTCCCATTTCATCCGTTTTCCATAGTCAATTGGTTGACAGAGGAGGCGAAAGAGCGTCCCCCCGAAAATTGACTTGTACAACTTCTTTTCACATGGTAAATTGCCACGGAAGAGGTTCTCATGTGGCCTTTGTTTGCTCTGGCGGTAGCTATTATTTGAATTTTTACTAAATTATAAATAAAAATAACCCGTCATCAAATAATTTACCTTTCCACAACAATGGCACTTGGAAATGAAGTAGGGAAGAGAGAAGTTACGTCTTATGCAGCTCTTTTGTGCTCACCTTTTTTTCCACTTTGCCCTCTGCACTACCTGGGAGATGTCTTCAATTCACGCTTAATGATTCCAACCACCGGAAACGGCAGGTTAAGTTACCGCACAGCAATCTATTTGTTCGAGAATGCCATCAGAAAATCAAATAGGGCTGGAATGGGGGTGGCGCACACTGAATTGACTGTCTAACGTCAAATGGCAACCCCAAGAGTTCCTCCTTGGCGCCAAATGAGGTGTGTCTTTGAAGGTATCGAATGTTCCGTGTGGCGCGGAAAAAAGGCCTCAGCAATTCCTTTTGCCTTCTTTGCGAAACACGAAATCCTCACGTAATTTCCGGGAATTAATAAATTATCTCCCACGCTGCACAATTCTCACATACATTTAAATGGATTTCAAAGAGTCGCACTGCTGGATTATTTAGCACAGGTGATGGTCTGACCTTT